GGCAGCATGGTACATTTTTAAGCTTTTATTCAGTGCAAAAGATGCATAGGAAAGTGAGGCCCCTATCTATAGGAGAGAGGTAAATCTGGGTTCATAGCGAGTACCAGGAACCAGCCACACGGAAGAGCATCTAGGCCAGGAAGCATGGGGAGGGGTTGCCTGAAGGCCACACACCCTGGAGGTGCAGGATTGCAGGGGCGGGCCCACCATGTCCCAGGCTTTTAATCCACTTTCAAAGGGGAGTGGTTAATTAGCCTGATTGGCCAGTGGGCACACAGGTGTGGCCAGGTAGGGGCTGTAAGGTCACACAGGGGCATGGTGAAGGAGTGGTCTTCCAGCTCACACACCTAACCAATTTTAACCTGTATTCCTGCCTACATCACCAGCATCCCATATGGACGCCAGCTGGAGACCCAGCTGCACCTCTTCTGATCCAGCGCTCTGCTAAGAGCCTGGGAAAGCAGTGGAAGACAGCTCAGGTAGTGCTTGGGCCCCGGCACCCATGTGGAAGACCCAGAAGAAGCTCCTGGCTCCTGGCTTCGGCTCAGCCCAGCTCTGGCCACTAAGGCCATTTAGGGAGTGAACCAGTGATGGAAGACCTCTCTCTGTCTCTCTATAACTCTGCCTCTCAAATAAATAAATAAATCTTCAAAAAAAAAAAAAAGAAAAAGAAAGAATAAACTAGTCTGCTGCTGAGACTTCCTAGGTGCATGACCCCAAAAACATCTCACTAGCTATAGAGGATGAAGTCTTCAAGCTTTCTGCTAGCTACAGGTTAAGCTAATGCCCAAGCTGTAAGCACAGCTACGTTGCACAGGTGTATCCTGAACAGGCTGGCTCATATTTTTAATACCATCCTTGATAAAAGTGTTGCTCTAAGTAGAATGTTGCTGAACAACATAAAATTCAGATCAGCAAAACAAGGCACTTGCAGTTCTTGCAGGCTACCTCAGACTTTAAGACACAATAAATATCAGGATGGTAAACTGTAATGGCTCCCAGTTTCCTCCATGGCCCTGAATTTTCATTCATTCAACAAATACTCTTTAAATTTCTACCCTGTGCTGTAGTAACTACCATTCAGGAGAGGCCATTCAGTCTACAGTCCAGTGGAGGAGAAAAATAAAAAGGCAATTAAAATTACTTTGATAAACACTGTATCAAGGTAACAGGACAAATTAGACAATATGGATGCAAATAATCATTTGAGAACAATCATAATTTTGAATTGTGGTGTTCCAAACTCTTCTTTACAACACATTAGCACTGTCACTTCACAGTTTTTTCTTTTTAAAGAATTATTTTTACTTATTTGAAAGGCAGAGTTACAGAAAGAGCAGGGGAGATACAAAGAGAGAGATCTTCCTTTCTTTGTGCTGATTCACTCCACAAATGTTCTCCACAGCTACAGCTGGGGCTGCACAGGGGCCAGGAGCTTCACTTGGGTCTCCCACATGGGTGCAGGCACATAAGAACTTGAGCCATATCAATTTTTCATTTTTTATGCCAAGCTGACAAACCTTAGTCTTTCTTTTTAATGATATATTTATTTATTTGAAATAGAGTACAGAGAGCGATAGAGCCAGAGAGAGAGAAAGGTCTTCCATTCGATGGTTCACTACCCAGATGATCGCAACGCCAGAGCTGAACTGATCCGAAGCCAAGAGCCAGGAGCTTCTTCCAGGTCTCCCACGCAGGTATAGGAGCCCAAGGACTTGGGCCATCTTCCACTGCTTTCCCAAGCCACAGCAGAGAGCCGGATCGGAAGCAGAGCAGCTGGGACTTGAACCAGCACCCATACGGGATGCCAGCGCTGCAGGCTGGGGCTTTAACCCACTGCGCCACAGTGCTGGCCCTAAACCTTAGTCTTAAGTCAAAGAGAAAATAATAATTCTTACAAATCCATTTTAAGTCAAAAACAAAAAAGGGAAGAAAAATTTAGCAAATTCCTCCATGTTTTAATATTCATGTCAATACTTTCAGCCTATCCTTGAGTCATGTTTAAAAATAAAGTGAGAGGAAAATTGAAATCTTGCAATGTAAGCAAGATTTCCAACATCGCAAAAATGCAGAACAAATAAAATGCCTGTTTGTGTCCAACCTTCTTGCCAATCAGAATGGACTTGCCATGGATGAAAGAATATTGGGAATGCTCTTGTGGCTGCAAAATAGCTTCCCATGGGTGTGACTGTGAAAGCTAATGGGGAAATGACCAGGGTGATGCTTAAATAATACTTGTTACTATACTAATGGCCTTGACCTATTCACACAATTCTCTACACCAATGAAGTACACTTAAAAACTTCAAGAGAACTTTTCATCTCTGTTCTTGCCCATAATAAAAACCAAAAATATTTAATGCATGTAACATGTAATTTTTGAGTATTTATTACATTCAAGGCACCAAAACAAACCCTCAATGTTCTTTCAACTAAGTAGAGGGAAATATGACCACTGGTATTTTTCATTCCAACATTTATTAGCACCTTTTCGTGTACTCAGCAGCTACCATGATATACAAAGTATCTATATGATTCAATATTCATACCACTGAGTACTGAGTATCTACTACATCAATGCTGCCAATTCAACCACAGAGATAAAAGGAAAACAAAACATACTGTTTACCTAAATCGAACATCAGCAATAACTCTTTGAACCCCAGCAATTATTCTAAACTAGGATGTGCAAACTACAGCCAGTCTTGTTTGTCACAGGCCAATTGCAGTTTCACTTGTGACACAGCTGAAAAGAAGAAAATTTCACAATTACAATTTCATGAGCAAATTACATGGAATTCAAATCTCAGTGCCCATAAAGTTGCACTTGAACACAGTTACACTCGTCTGCGTACCCTCTTGTCTGTCACTGCTTGCAAGCTGCAACAGCAGAGCTGACTAGCTGCAAGGAAGAACATATGGCCAGCAATGCCAATGCCTGATCTAAAACAAATGATCCTGGAATCCCTCCTCAGCCTGGTTTGTGGACAGGCAGGCTTAAGCCAACAAACACCAGTGAGATGCAAAGGATCTTGCTCTAAGCAAAAAGACAAAAAAGTCTTTCGCTTCTGTGGGATGTGAATAAGGAAATATGCCATTTCAGTTGCCACAGGCTACCATGAGGGAACCAGGCTTAGGATGATACCTACACTGAGTGGTAAAGCTAAAGGAATGTGAGTCCTTGCAACCCTACTGGACCACTATCATCTCACATCTCAGCCTTACCTGGGGTTTTCTTCTTAATGAAATATCCTTCTTGCTTATATTAGTCTGAGTCTAGTGTGTGAGCCTAACAAAGATGGTGGCCTTACAATCAGGCAGCAGTGAATGTTTGCTCATGGTAATACTGCTTGGATGACTTACTCAAAGTTAAAAATTAGTAAGTGGTAGAGCTAGTATTTGAGTCCCGTTCTGTCTGATGCTGTTGTGTTGTCTAATATCATAACTGGCTCACATTTTCATCTGTTGAAGGAACGTATATCACTAAAATCATGAAGTTCTATAAAGAACCTTGTTGGGGAGGGGAGAGGGGTTACCAACCCAGTCTGTGAGAAAAGGGTAAAGGATGAGGGAGAGTACATAAGAACTAAAGAAGAACTAGTTTGGAGATTCCATAGTCAACAGGGGAAGTCAAAGTGGTGAGCTATCCTAGAGGATAATTTTTTTTAATTATTTATTTATTTATTTATTTAAAACTCAAGAGTTACAGAGACATGGAGAGACAGAGACAGAAAAAGGTCTTTACCCACTGCTTCACTCCCCAAGTGGCTGCAATGGCCAGGGCTGAGCCAGGCCAAAGCCAGGAGCCAGGAGCTTCATCTGAGACTCCCAAGTGAGTGGCAGGGGCCCAAGCACTTGGGCCATCTTCTGCTGCTTTTCCCAGGCCATTAGCAGGGAGCTGGATTGGAAGAGGAGTGGCCAGGACATGAACGGACATCCATGCAGGATGCCAGCATCTCAGGTGATGGCTTTACTGCTACGACACAGCACTGGTCACCTAGAGAATAACTGTACTGCGGCTACAGAGAGAGATTTTCTTCATGGCTGGAACATTAATACAAACAGGTAAGACAGGGAATGGCTAGAGAGGGTACAAGGAGGAAGACCATGAAGAGCATCTTATATCGTGCTAAGGAATTTGAACCACCATCTTGAGTTCTTTGGCAAACTATCTCAGGTTTTCAAATACAAGGACGTGAACACAATCTAATTTCCACATGATAAAGATGGCTATGACAGAAGGATGAGCTAGGAACAGTTATGAGGAAACTAACAACTAATGAGGGTCTAAAATGTTCAACTCAAGTAGCTTAAGTGTCAGAACTGAAATCGCAACTCAGTTTTGACTTTTGCTAGTTGCATGCTCTTTGGCAAAGTAACCTTGCTAACCTTCTCATTTCTTCATATACAAAGACAGACTTTAGAGAACTACTGTAAGAATCAAATGCTAAAACAGAAGGAAGTGCACTGTGTCTGACATATAATTAGCCTTAGGAAGAGGAAACTGCTTTTTCTCCATCATTACTGTTCATACTTAGGTCTACAACTCGAGAGTGCTACAGAATTCGGAGCCACCAAGAGGTAACACTTAAAGCCTGGAGAATGCAAACTGTGGGGTAGAAAAGGACCAAGCAAAGAATCCTAAGACCACTCCTAAGGGGGAGACAGAGGAAAGGAACAGGATGAGCCCCATAGACTTAGGACTAAAGTCTCTGTGACTTTGAGAGACTTGAAGGGAAGGAGAAGAAAAAAAGGAACCCATATGCCTGCTGGATAAAGAAGGCAGGGAAAAGAAGGGCTTGGATTTTTCTTTAAATGAGAACTACCACATCAAGAAGCATACATTATAGGAGGAGGTAGAGAAGGAGAGTTCCCAGGGTCAAGATCGGTGAGAAAACGGTGCCCTTCAGAGAGAGCCAGGACTCCCACCCCAGCCTTTGCTTTCTCCTAGGTAGGTGAGGAACCAAAGCATCTTAACAGTTGTCACTAACAAGACTTTACCTAGTAACTGTGGTGCTGGTTCATCTCCACTCACCCACCATGTTCCCAGGGCCTCCACCTCAATCTAGAAGAAGAAAACAGGCTTTACTGAACTACACATTAAAGATGCACCACACCAGGTCTGCTGTTGATACTTCCATGTCCAAATCAGAGCAACCCTTCCCAAGGTGTTCCAATGTGTTGGCTTTTGCAGCTACCATGGATCTTTACTCTTGTCCATATATACTAGGGGCCCTAAGCCTCGAGTCAGCTGGCAATCAGTGTCATGCAACTCCAAGGCCAGTGCCCGTCCAACACACAGCAGATGGGGAAGCCCCAAAAGGACATGCTCTGCTGTCTCTGCAAAATGAGAGGCCGTCATCTGTCAAAACCAAAGGGGAATAGTAAGGTACTGGCTCAAGGACTTGAGGACTTGATATAGCTGGTGCTAAAGATAGGGCCAAATAAACTAGGAACACATGGGAAGACTACAAGGCACTGGGCAGAAGCCAGATGAAGGAAAAGGTTTTGAACATACATTTATTTATCAAATAAACTTAGACTAGTAAACTCTGTTCTCTCTTACTCCATCTTATTCTATTCCTACTCAACCACCTTAAATATCTACTCATCAAAAGAGAATTCTAAAGATTAGTTTTGGGACTTCACATAAATACCACACTACACCCACAAGAAAACAATATAATAAGTTTTTTAAGAGCTTTGCACTTTCACATAAAGTTCATCTTTCAAATGTTCTATCTATAGGCTTAGAGAGTAAACATGTACTTCAGATACTGAGCTATATCTGGAACATAAATCTACTAGTAAATCCACAGGAGCCACAGACCAGTCAAAAAATGGTGTCTTAGCCTGTGCCAGGCACCTAGGAATCTATGTCTAATTACTGGTTACAACTAAATACACTGATTAGAGAAAACTAAAAGATAATCAAATAAATCTTAAATTTTAATAAGCATTTTATTTTGCTCATGAAGAGAGTAAGTTCAGATTTATTCAGTTTTTTAAAAAGGCGTATTTACTTGAAAGTGAAGGTAGAGGCCGGCGCCGTGGCTCACTAGGTTAATCCTCCCCCTAGCGGCGCCGGCACACCGGGTTCTAGTCCCGCTCGGGGAGCCGGATTCTGTCCCGGTTGCTCCTCTTCCAGGCCAGCTCTCTGCTTTGGCCCAGGAGTTCAGCGGAGGATGGCTTAAATCCCTGGGCCCTGTACCCCATGGGAGACCAGGAGAAGCACCTGGCTCCTGGCTTCAGATCAGCGCAGTGCGCAGGCCGCAGCGGCCACTGGAGGCTGAACCAACGGAAAAGGAAGACTTTTCTCTTTGTCTCTCTCTCTCTCTCTCTCTCTCTCTCTCTCTCTCTCTCACTGTCCACTCTGCCTGTCAAAAAAATTAAAAAAAGAAAAAAGTGAAGGTAGACTGACAGAGAGAAAGAGTAGAGATCAAGAGAGACGGAGATCTTCTTCTACCTGCTGGTTCACTTAGCAAATGGCTGCAACAGCCAAGGCTGGGGCCATGCTCAAACCAGGAGCCAGGAACTCCATGCAGATCTCCAACATAGGGGACAGTGATCCAAGTTCTTGGGCCATTATCCACTGCCTTCCCAGGTACATCAGTGGAAAGCTGGATGGGAAGCAGAGCAAGGAGGACTTGTTTTGAGATGCCGGCATTGCAAGCCGCACATTAATGAGCTGTGAAACAATGCTGGCCCCTGTTTATTTTATTACTATTTTTTTGACAGGCAGAGTTAGACAGTGAGAGAGAGAGAGAGACAGAGAGGAAGGTCTTCCTTTTTTCCATTGGTTCACCCCCCAGGTGGCCGCTACCACCGGCACATTGCAGCTGGCGCGAGCTGCGCCGATCTGAAGCCAGGAGCCAGGTGCTTCCTCCTGGTCTCCCATCTGGGTACAAGGCCCAAGGACCTGGGCCATCCTCTACTGCACTCCCAGGCCACAGTAGAGAGCTGGACAGGAAGAGGAGCAACCGGGAGGAGAACCCGGGGTGCTGGCACCACAGGTGGAGGATTAGCCTAGTGAGCCATGGCACTGGCCTAATTTTATTTTATTTTTTTTTAACTTTTATTTAATGAATATAAATTTCCAAAGTACAGCTTATAGATTACAATGGCTTCCCCCCCATAATGTCCCTCCCCCCCGCAATCCTCCCCTTTCCCACTCCCTCTCCCCTTCCATTCATATCAAGATTCATTTTTGATTCTCTTTACATACAGAAGATCAGTTTAGCATACATTAAGTAAAGATTTCAACAGTTTGCTCCCACTCAGAAACATAAAGTGAAAAATAATAGATGATTTTTTTAAATGATGATGAAATCCGATCAGACCTATTGTCATGTTTAATCCCAGTGAGAGTCAAGTTGGGAATTGATAATTTCTTCTTTTTTTTTTTTTTTTTTACAGAAGATCAGTTTAGTATACATTAAGTAAAGATTTCAACAGTTTGCACCCCCATAGAAACACAAAGTGAAATATACTGTTTGAGTACTCGTTATAGCATTAAATCTCAATGTACAGCACATTAAGGACAGAGATCCTACATGAGGAGTAAGTGCACAGTGACTCCTGTTGTTGACTTTACAAATTGACACTCCTGTTTATGGTATCAGTAATCTCCCTATGCTCCAGTCATGAGTTTCCAAGGCTATGGAAGCCTTTTGAGTTCTCCGACTCTTATCTTGTTTAGACAAGGTCATAGTCAAAGTGGAGGTTCTCCCTCCCTTCAGAGAAAGGTACCTCCTTCTTTGAAGACCTGTTCTTCCCACTGGGATCTCACTCACAGAGATTTTCACTTAGGTTTTTTTTTTTTTTTTTTTTTTTTTTGTTTTTTCCTTTTTTTTTTTTTTTTTTTTTTGCCAGAGTGTCCTGGCTTTCCATGCCTGAAATACTCTCATGGGCTTTTCAGCCGGATCCGAATGCCTTTAGGGCTGATTCTGAGGCTGGCCTAATTTTAAACAATATAAATGTACCTAGCACTAGTCATTACCACTTCAAGTGGAAATGGAATCAAACCAAATTACCAGCATGATATGGCTTAACTTCTCAGGTATTCTGATGATTTTATAAGAAAGACTTTTCACTTTAATAAACTCATCAAAATATTCTTAGGGTCTTAAAAATAACAAATTTAAAGAAGCTCAATATTCAGTGATTTTTAAAAGCACTTTTATTTCATTATAAGGTTATTACTGGCATAAATAGCTATTTTCTGTTTTCAAAACCATAAACAACCTTTTACCAGCTAAGCCTGAAACTTCAAAGGCAGAGTTTTCAGAAAATGTAACTTACTCAAAGGTACCTACAAGGAAGTAATAATTGCAACTTAGCCACTTTGACAAGAAGAAATAGAAGTTAAACAGTCTCATAAACAGTTAAGAAGCAAAGCAGTTTCCCTTTATGGCTACTCACATCTGAAAATACTCCTAAATTCATTTATGCAGCTAGAATAACCTTGATTGCAAAACAAGGAAAGAAAATTACAGGTCATTTTTACTAATGCATATATTAACAAAATCAATCCAATAATACTTAAAAATATGTAAAATTACCAGGTTGGATACTTCTCAGAAGTGTAAAAGTGGTTTTATATTAGAACATAATTTAATTTACCAATTAAAATACAAAAGGAAAAAACATACATAATCTCAGTTGATGCACTCAAAACAGTGCTCAGAACTCATCCTAACTCCTAGTGAGCTGCATAAAGGGAGAAGAGGGAAGAAATAATAGAAGAGAAAAAAAGGAAGGAAGAAAATTTCCTACAAACATCCAGTATGAACAAAGACGCAAAACTGTTGACCAGTATTTAAAAAGATATTTCATCTTGACCAAGAGGAGCTTTTAAAAGTATATGAAAAAATTATCAACCTAGAAATAGAAAGAAATCCCCCAATCCAGTAGAGAGCATTTAGGAAATGCCCAGAGTTAAATTCTACTTACTTAATGGTGAAATAGCATATACTTTGTCATTAAAATCAGAAACAAAGCTAGAATATCTACCCTCATCACTTTTATTCAATACTGTACTGGAAGTTCCACACAGAGCAGTATGGCAAGAAATGACTGGAAAAGAGGTAAAGTTATCTCTATTCATGGTTGGCATGATATTTACATGGAAAATCTCAAAGAAGTTTTTTAAAAAACTACTAATATTAACATAAATTTAGCAAGGTCAAATGACATAAGTGTAAGTATCATTCCTAAGTGTATATATTAGTAGCAAATAAAGGAAAAATTAAAAATTTAAAAATATTTACAATAGCATCAAAAACCATAAAACAATCCAAAAAAGTATTTAACAAAAAATGTATGTGATCTCCACATCAAAAACTACAAAACAAGGCAGAAAAACATTAAAGATCTAAACAAATAAAGATAATACATCACTGTCGTGGACTGTAAGACTTAGTATCAGTGAGTGCTAATTCTCACAAACTTGATATACAGATTTGATGCAATTCTCTTCACAAACTCTTGCATGTATATTCTGTAGAAATCAACAAGTTGATTCTAAAATGTATATGGATACATAAAAGGCCTAAAATATTCAGAGCTGTTTTAAAAGGAACAAAAAGTTGGAAGATTCCCACTACCTAGTTTTAATACTTAGTGTACAACTACAGTAATCAGGACTGTGGTACAGGCAGAAGGACAAATAACAAAACAACAGAAAAGAGTCCAGAAATAGACTGATGTCCTTATGCTTCATTTTTTTGACAAAAATAACAAAAGCAATCCAATGATGAAAGCCAAGTCTTTTCAACAAATGATGCCAAAACAACTGAATGTCCATTTAAAAAAATCTAATTCAAAATTAATTTTAGTTACATCATAGAGCTAGACATAAAATCTAAAACTGCAAAACTTCTAGAAGAAAATACAGGAGTATAAGTTTGTGATTTCAGAATATGGAAAGTTTCTTAATGACAGAGAAAGAAAAAAAAGAGTCCAGGGGCCAGCATTGTGGCATAGCAGCACGTAAAGCCACTACCCGGGATGCTGTCATTTCATGTGGGCAACAATTTGAGTCCCAGCTGCTCCACTTCTGATCCA